TTGACTGTATGATCTGGTTGAACTGTAAAGTGCCTTGAGATGACATGTGTTGTGAATTTGGCGCTATATAAATAAACTGAATTGAATTGAATCAACCAGAGCTCCAGGGATGGCGCCCGTCACAAGCGGAGGACAATCTCCTTCTCAGATTCATCACATCCCTCTGTGGTCGGACTGAACTCTAAACCAGGTCAGTGACTATTGCTCTTAGTTGTTATCGGCCCTTTTTGTAGTCCCTGACCTGAGTTTCTGTTTCTACAGAGGATCCAGTTTGTCCCCTCCAGCTGACGAGCTAAATGTTTGAACTCATTCGGATATGCCTGTTTGAATATTGGGTCCAAGGTTTCCAGCCTGACACCCGACACAAATGGTGGATCAACATGCTGTTTGGACAGCAATGTTATTGACCAGGTGTGCCTTGGCAACAATAAAATGCTGCTCTGTCTTGATCTTCCCTGATAACTGACCTTAATCATTCACTTCATTCACCTGCTTAAATCTGCCCGCTTTCTAATCAACGCTCATCTTATCCAGCTGTGTCTGCTCCTTTATATTCGGCTCAGCCCAGCTATCTGGGCCAGATCATTGTTTGTCTGTTTTTGTTGGTTTGAGTTAGTCCAAGGTTAATGTCCTCATTGCCGGAGGCCAGTGGGTTGAGAGGTTTTTAGTGTTTGTCTTATCTCCTGGTCCTGTCCTGGTTCCTAGGTGGAGACCAGTTTAAATTATCTGCAGTTATCCTGGTACCATGTCTTGTCTCTGTCCCTCAACCACTGATCCTGCATATCTGCATCTGTGCATTTCTGTCTAAGCTTAACGCATGGAACTTTTAACCTGCCTTCATGCCCTGTGGATTCCTGGAACACTGGATCTGTCTGTTTCTGTGCAGATTAGAACCCCTGACCGACAGATCCACAGCTCTGCACTTCTGTTCTGTAATGTTTTATGTTAATAAACCTTTTGAGCTTTTTCACTGTCTGCCTTACCTTGTATGCTGGGTCCGTCTGTCTGGTTTTATGACAGCCAAAGAGGTGAAACTGGCACCTCATTCTTATACTTAATGTAAATGTTTCATCCTAATTTTTCTGCTTTAAGGAGTTCCTATCTATGCTTCAATTAATCAGTAATAGCATTTGTCTAAATCTATGATTTATAAATCTTAAAATTCCAAACAAAACTTATATTTAAGTTTATTGATTTTGAAAAGCTTCAGAGATGCTGAAAGCAGGAGATTTCTTTTTACCGTATTCTTTCCATATAGGAGTTTATGAAACAAATTATGATAATAACTGGCAGAGATAGGGGTGAGGATTGGATGCAACCAATGTGCCTGAAGGCTACGAGAATAATTTGTCTCTCTGTTTACCACATTCTGCCCCATTTTTCAAATAGTCTTATGCTAAATTCACACCACATGCAATTGAAGCAGCAGAAGAAGTTGGTCTACATGCAAAGTCAATGGTTGATGCAAATCTAGGTATACCAAAAGGTCCTGCAGCAATTTTCGAGCAGCAGGAGCAGTGCTTCTCGGTGCATCTGAGCACCTGAAGCAGTACCTCAAGAGCTACTGAGCATCTGCGGCGCGTGCCGTGCAAGCCCAAGCAGCAGATGTTGGAGTGGGAAAACTTTTGCTGCTCTACATCAGCCAATCAATGAAGCTGATCTAGGAGTTGGGAGCAGCACTGCTGATGCAAAGCTCTATGATTAGTCTCCCCTGAAACCATTTATTAACGCCTAAATTAATTTAAAATGTTGAAACCTATGTTTGCTTTTATTATCCTGGTGCCTGCAGTTTGTACCACATACCTGAAAAACACTAACATCTGCTTCCAACATCTGCTTCTGGTTGAGGGCCTGAGGCAGCTGCTGCTGGGGATTCCCAGTGACAGTGCAGCGCCGGTATGTGGGGGTCTGAGCGGCTCCCACAGAGAAATATTTGAAGGCAAGTTTGGATGAACTGACTGCACAGACCATGGTTTCAGGAAGACTTTCTCACTCAAAAATATATTAAAACTACTTTTTACCCGCTGATTACAGCTAATATAGCAAAGCTGCTCTCTGGCATTGAACACAGAAGCAGCAGAACGATCAGAGGCATCTGGACTCACTTTACGGGACGTCTGACCTTAATGTGGACAAGCATCAGAAATGAAGCAGCAGAAGCTTTTTTGCTGCCCAAAGCCTGTGCAGTGTGAACGTAGCATTAAAGCAGGCCATCTGATTTAATCTCATTTAAGCACAGGTTATAAGAATGACTTAACAAAGTGACACAGAAGAACAGGAAGAATAACACAGGGAGTACAGCGCTACAGCATCTAGAATTGTTTTAATTCTTTTTTTTTTTTTTTTTACATATGAATGAGCGAGATTATCACTTTTTAATGACTAATACCTGTCTTTAGGTAGGGGTTAAATTTTGCTTAAAATAGAAACAAAAACCAACTACATATTAATCAATCTAAATGAACAAATTATATGCATGCAGTGTTTGTTTAGAGTTTTTTGTGTTTAGATTTTTTCTGTAGTTTTGACTTACCTCTCTATCAGCGCTGCTCTGGTTCTGTCATCCATCTTGTTCATCTCCTCCAGTTTCTTCACCTTTTCTTGGTCTCCTCTCTCCTTCATCTTCTGGATCAGAAAGTCCAGCAGGACATGAGTGGAAGTAATGTTTGCTTCCACTGTGTTAGTCTCATACAATTTAACAGCAAGCTGATAGGCTTCATCCAACAGGAGGATCTTCTTTACTGACAGATGTTTCATTTCTTTTACAAGATTTTCCATCAGACTAAACCTCCTCTCACCAACTGCCAGATTTTGTTCATACTTCTGTGCCACTGTTCTTTTAGTGATTTGGACTTTTCTGGTTTTGATCACATATTTCTGGTTGTCTTTGACATGATAAGCTGCGGGACACTTGTTGCTGCATGAAGTACAGTTTCCATCTTTTATGACTTCACACCTTTCTGGACTTAAGCCCATTGTACATCCAGGATAGTGACAGTTCTCCTCACAGACGGTGCAGTAGACAGCTGCTTCAGAAACCCACCCGGTTGGACCCGATTTAAATGGTTTTAGAGTTTTAAAAACTTCTGCTACCTCTGCAGTAAACTGCCCAGTTTTATTCTGTTCATTGTGTTTCTTTAGGGCTTCATCTATCATGTTTATATCTCTCTGCTTTAATTCAGTGAACCTGATTCTTTCGTCCAGGTTCTGGATGCAGGCGGTCAGTCTGGCCCGTTCTTTCAGGGTTTCATTCATTAGCTCTTTATATTTTGGGCTGATATCTTTCAAGTAAGTCATGAATCGACCAAATCCTCTCTCTGAGACTCTCCATGCATTCTCTAAGCCAATCTCATTTTCTTCGTTTCTCTGGATCTTCTGCTGGTTATTGAACATGAAGTAAATGATCTGGTTCTTCTCATCTTTAGAACATTCAATGTTTGCCTTCTCTAGAGCTTTAAGGATCTCGCGTGGAGGCATTCCATCAGAGTGGGTGATCAAAGCTACGGTGTTTTCTGGTCCAACCAGAGAAACCACTGAATTAAAGATGTACTGCAGTCGATCACTGACTAGATGATCAGTCGCCTTCATCACCAGACCCACTGCATGAAGGTCAGGAACTCCCCCCTCTGGCTGAAACAAGCTGAATAACCTCTGACTGACTTCATCATCATGTTGGATCCCTCTGGTGTCTCCATATCCAGGAGTATCAATGATGGTCAGAGAGAATGGCAGAGTTTGATCTTCAAACCCAAAGATCTGATAGACGACCACATCTGACTTCTGACTTCTCTGCTCTTCCTCCACAATCTGAAACCAGACTTCATCCTCAAACTTCACCCCCATGGCGTAGTTGACCAGAGCGCTGATCAGAGTAGATTTTCCTCTTCCTGTCTCACCAATAAGTAAGATGGTTATGTTTGGCTTCTCATTTTTCCTGCCAACAGTGAATTTGGTCAGATTTCCAGTCTTCTCTGTATTCTTTGGCAAATCATAGATGGCAGGACATTCTGAATCGATCTTATGACTGTTGGCAATGATTTTATCAAAGATTTTTTCTTTCCTGTAAAACATGTAAAATATTCAGTTAATGGCAGTGCTGTAAAGGCGAATAACAAAGATGTGGTACTCCATTTAATGTCAAATATATCAGAAGAATATGCTTAGAATATTTTTCTACAGATCAGATTGATATTGATTTAAATAAAAAGAGCAAGAAAACAAAGACATTTCTAAATCAGATGTATTTGACCCACTTCAATGAATGAAAATTGAAGAAAGATATAAAATAGAAACACTTTAAAACAAAGAACCCATAACATTGTCTTATTATTTCAAGGAGCTCATTATGGTTTCCTTGAAATATAATTTTTCTTATTAAATAAAATGAAGAAAGTGTTAATACATTTGTCACTTTATATAAATTTCTGTTCCTCAGAGGCTTTGCCCCTCCTCGCCTTCCTTAAAAAACAGAATCGCAACATGAAGCTGTGGAGCCGCCATGCTTTATGATAGCTGATCAGTTTTATTCTTAACATTTGTATCCATGTATTTTTTTTGGATATGGCTAACTTAACAGTTTAATTGGAGGGTCTATTTGAAAGCAAACATTTTTTAGTCAAGCTTAATGATGTCAGTTTTAAAACAGGAGCTTCTTGATCATTTCTAAATCTGAAACTGGGTTATTATTGCTTTATGTTTTTTTTGTATTACTTATTGCTGCAGATAAAAGTTATTGACCATTTAAGGGTAAAGGTTTGTAATTTGGGTACAAGAAACAAAAAAACTGATGTTACATTTATATTGTGTTTGTTTTATCATTAGCAATTTTTTGTATCATGATATTTCTTTCTACCATTCAGTGAAAACTATAATTTAAAGACATTTATGGGACATACATTTGCATTACATTACCTACGGGCATAGCAGTCAAAGCAAGTATGTGAACCATTAAGGTTTGATAAGATGACCTGTTAGCAGGCTGTGGTTGGCAGATACTTAACCCTTAACTCTAAACATAAGATCTCCTAATTCATAACTGACATATTCTCTAAACATCCAAGTCTTAAAAGACAAAGTCCCCATTTTAAATCTGGGGGCGTCAGTCTGTGGGAGGGGCGCTTGAACTCAGAACCTCAGGTTTTCAAGCTCTATCCCCTAATGAGGAAACCTAACATTGGAGCTGTTTTGCTATAGCCTGATTTCCTGATCATGTTCTGTCTCTTGTCTGCTGAGTGCGCCTGTTCCTGTCTTTGCTTAGTGGAAAAAGCACGTTTTTTTTAGTGTTTCATAGTGTTCCTGTAATCCTGACGTGTTCTGCCTCTCAACCACTGAGCTTGCCTGTTCCTATCTGAACCTTCTGTCCTGAGTTCTCTGTGGACTCCTGGACCAGCAAAATATGATTAAAACCATATTTATCTGCATTTTAGATTTTTGTTTCTTTAGATTACACACTTTATACCTCTATTTCAGTCATACTCACTTTGTTGCCATGGTAACGCCCCAAGCAGAAATCTGAGTCAAAACACATCAAAAACATGAATTTTATCTTTCCACAGGATGACAAACAAGCACAAAACAGACATAAGTCTTTAAAGTCATTTAACAGTAGATTTAAAACCAATAAAGCAAATATAAAAAACATCCTAATCACATAAAATTAAATACTGGAGTAAAGAGCCCAGATTGTTGCAAGTAATTAATCACCTTCATATCAGACTTTTATATGTTTTTTAATGTTCAGGAACCTCCTATTTTCATTTGTTTAAAATTTAATTTGAATGAGCCAAGATTAAATTTCTGGACAAAATGTTTCATTTCCTCTCTGGACCATATTTGGTCCCTCATTCCCAGACTTGTTCTAGAGAGGAACTTCAAACCACATTTAGCCATTGAAGGTGGGAGGCTCTTTCAGAACACGCCTCATCTTAGAGCTCTAACTATTAACTCTTAATCATAACCGACCTCTTGTCACTATAAATCAGTGGACCTATCTATTCTACTATAGATTAGGGATCACTGCTGAAATTTTAATCTTTAAATATGTGTTGCAGTACATGAAGGACAGAATATCAGAACCATGTGAAGTTAACCAATTTTTTTATTTATTTGTTTGTGTTAATTCTGAACCAATTTTTTTTTTTTTTACATTTAGGAGAGTCTGTCGACCACAGGGCTGGTTGGTTTCATGCTAAGAGGCTTTTGTTCTGAAATATTTGATTACCAGTTTAGGCTCATTTATATTCAGAACCTTTTGCTTTGTTTTCATATCCTGATTTATTAGACAAACTATAAGAAAACTGTTAAACTTGTTATCTGTCTACAAATTTGATCACTAAGAAACAAAAATAATTGTAAAATAACACATTTCTAAAAGGAACATTCATTACCTTTTAAACAGTTTAATCTTTTCTAAATTATCTGTCTGTAGTATCTATAGTACTTCAGCTCTTTGCTGCAGAGATCTTACCTTTCAATGGTGGTCTGGAAACAATTTACCGCACTGAGCTCCACAGAGAACGAGGAAGAGTCAGATTTCTCCTTTTATTCTTCACCCTGGAACAGGTGGAACCTGTTATCATGTGACGTCTTATGAACTGTGAACTGGATCCTGCTCCTACATGTCTTTATGCTGCAATCATAATGAGAAACAACAGACTAACAAAAAGGCAATGGTCATAAATGAAACTCTTAAACAGCTGATTTTCTGATTTAACAACTTGTTTAACTGCAGGCATTTGATCAATTTAGATTTTTAAAATTCATATATTTATATATATATATTTATTTTCAAGATTTTCCGACAGGACAAATATTCCTCAGTGACTGGAGGAAAGAAGTCAAATTAATTCATGTTAGGCTGTTGAGCTTCAATTAGTCCATTTACAACCAAAGTTAGTTGCTTAAGTTTACAGTAGGGTTAAACTGGTTTGACTACATAATGTTTCAGGTGTGGCTCCAGGAATGGTTAAAATTCATGCTTCCTCAGCGTTTGACATAGAGTAGTAGAGAAAAACTAGAGAAAAAAATTCCTGCCATTTCAGAGGATAAATGTAATGCAATACATTGTTTTTGCAGCAGTAATTTTATTACTGTTGTATGCTGTTAAAAACAAAACATAAATACCTTCATTTGGGCCCAACAGTGTTATTTATTCCTTTAGCTATTTATATCATTAGCTATACTGAATCATGGGAAAGTATATTTACTTGTGATTCTAATTCATACTGGCGGTAATGCATGTGACACCTAATGTCCCAGGGAAGAACAGAAGGCTCTAAAAGTAAAAGGTCTTCTTTATACTAATTCTCCTGCCACACTGTAGAGAAGATGAAAGTGGACCTCTGATGTTAACAGATGTAATGTACATTGCCAGAGAATACAGATTTTCAGCAGAATAATTCATGTTTAGGTTACATTGCTGTTTTGTTTTGATAGAGATATATCACTGCTGCTGATGAGTCCACATACAGCCTTCAGACGAGTCCATGACTCCTTTTACTTGGTAAATAGTTCAGTTTTTTTTCTTATTTTTGAACCTATACCTTTATTCCCTCATTCACCAAAACCATTTCTAGTCTAAAATTTACAATCATAGAGGGTAATATTTTGTTTTGATTATGAGTTTTTCAAGTCTACCACCCAAACAAAATGTTTATTGTTGCAGTAGATGTCTCTAGTTTTGTGTGTTGGATGATTAGCATCAATTAAAGAAAAGATTGTCTGCGAGGGCAAACAGCCCACATTCTTGTCAAGCCTTTCCTTGTGTGTAAACACACACAGAGACACTTATGTCTGAAGTATTTTCGGTTCAAGACACAGAAATACAGACAAATCATTGGTTACAAGTCGAGCGGTTTCTCGCTCTCTTTACACACTTGATTTTTGCCACACCTCATACAGTGGAGGACCAACTCTGCCATATTTAAAAATAAATACAGCAATAAAAAAATGCTCAATGAAAAAAAAGCATACAATTAATTGCCACCAAAAATACAATAAACAAATAAATGTTAGCAGAAATTAAATTATACAGTAAGACATAAATGTATATAACTATTTTAATTAGCTTCTTTATTTATTTGCCTTTGTAATAATTACCTTATTTATTTTTTTTGTCCTTTATAATCTTCAACTTTATTTCTTAATTACTTAAATTTTTAAGTATTTATTTATGTGCATGTTATAATATTATTGTCTGTTTTATTCTTCCTTTGTATTTTTTTTACCCTAGTTATTTCTTCAACGCTATTTATTTCTGCCTGCCCTTTTTACATTTCTTACTGCATTTCTGTCTTATTATGCAAATGAGGAGGGGGTGTGTCTCTAGAAGTGGTGATAGTGGTGTTGGATGTAGGAGTTTGCCCTGAAATCGAAGGGTTGACGGTTCAAGCCCCGACTCGGACTTTCAGTGTCATTGTGTCTTTGGGCAAGACACTTCACCTGCATTGTCTACTGATGGTGGTCAGAGGGCCCGGTGGCGCCAGTGTACGGCAGCCCCGCTTCTGTCAGTGAGCCCCAGGGCAACTGTGGCTACAATGTAGCTTGCCACCATCAGTGTGTGAGTGTGTGTGTGAATGGGTGAATGTATGTAGTGTAAAGCACTTTGGTCAAGTCTCCTGACTTGAATAAAGGCGCTATATAAGTACATGCCTTTTACCATTTACCATTTAGGAGTATTTACTCTCCTAGAGAGTAAATAAATGTAAGTATTTGTTTATTCTATTTTTTGGTGGCAATTAATTGTATGCTTATTTATTTACAGAGCATTTATTTCTGTGTTTAATTTTAAATATGGCAGAGTTTGTCCTCCATATTCCTCTGCCATTTGAGATCCACAAATGAGTCAACATATTCTCATTATCAGTTCGTATGAAATCGTACGAAAAGTTATGCACACTATTTCGTACGTTTTTCCTCAAAAACCTACATCAGTGCGCATGCGCTGGCAGACAAAAAAAAAAACTGATCCGCGGACGGACATAAAACTGGGAAAAACAGTGCAATAATTACTTATTCATGTCTCTAACTACGTTGCTTGCTGTTTTATATCTTAGGGTTAGAGTCAGGGTCAGGGTTAGGGCTAATTGTAATTTATATTTTATGTTCGTGAGGTGCGTCAGATGCGCATGCGCATACGACGAAAAAAAGTCCAAAACGTACGAAATTACGGTGCATTCGTACGATTTCATACGAACTCATAATGAGAATATACTGAATGAGTGAAGGATATGTATGTGTAATATCTGGATTTGCTGCCCTGAGCGCAGGCTCACAGGCTGCCTCTTCATGCTGCGGGAGTTCAGCACAATTTGCTGCACCTACACCCACTTACCACCAGGTGGCGGTATTGTACTTTACGTGACATTACTGCAGCACGGCCGAAGTTCAATTCACGGCCACTATGCAGCCACTATGGTGGCAGACTCTGCTGGCACCGGCCACTACGCACAGTGTTACGAACTCAGCGACTTTGTCACTATATTAAGCAATTTTCAGACCACTCCAGCGACTCTTTTTCAAAAAAGTGACTAGTGACAAATCTAGCGACTTTTCTGGTGTCACTGGCAGCTTTAAGAGACTCTTAGTTGAAAGCACGTATTGTTCCTACTCTTGTCCTCCAGCGGCAGGTGCTGCTGTGGGGCGCCTCCCCCGTCCCAAACCCGTTCTCCGTACTTCAGCAGGCGAACCTCTCAGAGCTGCAGTCAGAGCCACAGCATGTTACCCTAACAACATCCAGACTGCAACTGAACCGTGCGGATGCGCCGGGATTGACGGCGCAGGTTGATCACGCTGGAGTCAGATCCCTCAGTTGCTGAACCTGCCATAGAGAACCTTGACCAACATGACCCACTCTTTCTGTAAGCAGGCAAGCACAGCACTCTCTATCCTCCCTGTAAAGGTGAAGTCCAAAAGGTGATGTGAGACTGATCGCATACGCATTCTTGGATCCAGGAAGTACTGCCTTATTTTGTACAGAAAGACTTATGAAACGGCTCAATCTGACAGGGAAGAGGCTGGGAATACTCCTGAGAACTATGGGACAAGAAAAAGTTGTGTAGAGCTACATGTTGTCTGGTTTAGAAGTGGCTGGGCTGGATTAAGATAACTTTTATAGTTTGCCCAAGATGTTCACACAGAGGAGCATGCCTGTGCATTAGGGGAACATACCACACTCAAACGATCTCAGAATATGGCCGCACCTTAATGATATCAAAATCCCATTGATTGATGCAGATGTGGATCTTCTGATGGGCACCAACGTACCTCAAGCCCTGGAGCTGTGGGAGGTAGTACATACAGTGGATGGAGGCCCTTATGCAATCAGGACCATCCTTGGTTGGACTGTGAATGGCCCGCTCAGAGGAGACTGCCAGATCAGTGACCCGCATTTAATACCTGACATTAGTGTAAATGGGATCTCTGTTGCCAGGTTTGATGAGCTTTGGGAGAAGCAGTTGAAGGTGGATTTCCCTGAGACCCAGAACAACCTGGGTTATCACAGGAGGATCAGTGCTTCATGCAGTCTGTTTCAGAGTCAGCCAAGCTCGTTGATGGTCATTACAGTATTGGTCTGCCACTAAAGAAAAGACATCTTAAAATACCAAACAATAAGGCAGTTGCAATACAATGTAAATTGAGTTTCAAAAGACGTTTGAATAAAGCTCCATTTTCTTGCTCTGACTACACCACATTCATGCCTGAGATGCTAGCTAGTGGCTATGTAGAGAGAGTTCTAACTGAGCAGCTGGAGAAAGAAGTACAGGTTAAGATAAACAATGTCAATTCTCAAATGCTGAGGTGTTTTCTGTCCATGGAGGATGTGGTTGTGGCTGAGTCAGCAATTATTTGTTTTTGTCAAAGAATAAGGTTTCCAGACGAACTGGCCAACTTGAAGAAAGGACAGAGTGTGATAAGAACGAGTCACCTTTGCAAGCTAACCCCGTACTGGATGATGGTCTTATTAGGGTTAGGGGGCGGCTTAGTAGAGCTTCTATGCCAGTTGAAGCTAAGTATCCAGTTATCCTGGCAAAAGATCTGCACATCTCTAATCTGATCCTCTATCATGTACATGAAATAACAGAACATGGTTGACGAAACAACATGCTGTCCCATCTGCGTCAGAAGTATTGGATTCCTGCCACCTGTGTTGCCATAAGAAGAATTCTGGCCAATTGTGTTATCTGCCGTTGTTTGACTTCTGCTCCTGGACATCAAAAAATGGCTGATCTTCCTCACAACAGAATTACTCCTGATGAGCCTCCTTTCAGTAGAGGTAGTTTGGACTGCTTTGGACCATTTGAAGTCAAGCATGGAAGAGCTGTGGTCAAAAGGTATGGGCTCATTTTTACCTGCCTGGCGATACGAGCCGTACACCTTGGAAGTATTGTCATCTTTAGACACAGACGGTCTCAGAAGGTTTATTGTTCAAGTCCTGGAAATCCATTCAGATAATGGCACTAACTTTGTGGGCGCTGAAGGAGAATTAAGGAAGGC